CGATAAAAAGAAAATATGAAAGAAAAAACAAACATTTTTTGAGAAAAGTACTAAAAATCCGGGCTTTATTGCTCTGAAAGTCATAAACCATTAAGGAACAATGTAAATGTACGATCCGATGGTTTTATGGTTACTGGGAAACGACCTTAAATTGCTAGAATTTATCAAGAAGTAAATGTCAAATTTACAAAGAGTATCAAAGTAGGTAAGCCAATCACATGAAGATAATGAAAATTAATAAGAATACGGCCATTGTTTAATAATTTTGAATTTAAAGAAACTGTAAATATGATGAAGTTTTTTGCATGAAATATATATATATATATATAGTATCTATTAAAAGTAAACACTAAAGTTTTATAATTAATCATTCATATATGATATGTTTAATTTACAGAAATGTGCATTAAAGAGAATTATGATATTCCAAGATGATCTATTACTGGGTATTAAAAATATGTCATTTTTACTAAATGTGTAAAAAATCGTAGTTTTCTTTTCTATTATTAAATGTACAAACGCGTGAAACTAAGTTTCGTTCACGTGTTGGAACAAATTAAACCGACAGACTGAGAAAGTTCGAATGCTTTTAAAATTTGTGGTATTGGTTTACTTAAATGTCCCATTAGACATTTTTTGATGATCGCCTTTTGTTCAGATAATATTATCAGGTTACTTTGATGAAAGGTTTTTTTGTTTGTTGTGGTGAAAAGCAACACCATTGGCCATTAGCGTTTGGTCTATCGTAAGGATAGATTCCCTAATTTTAGCATTATAAGCCCTCAAGCCTATCATTAAGCCACCGAGAAACTTTAATGGAAGATCTGAAATATATGTCGGTTCTGTGAAAAGCTATAATACACTATATGATAAAATATATTTCAAAATTGATATTTGGAGAGACGCGAGATAAATATTTATGTGAGATCGTTGTTAGAGATTAACAAGAATAAAAATGTATACATTTTTAGTTGCAGATTTGAAACTGGTGGTAAAGAATACTTAATATTCTTGAGGAGTACTAGTTGCTTATTTGTTAGCTTTGGAATACAACTCAGATACTCGAGAGCTATCTGCGCTAATCGTCCCTGATTTAAAGTGATAGATTAGAGGGAAGGCAGCTAGTAAATATCACCCACCGCTAACTCTTGGGCTACTGTTATACCAACGAAAATTGGGTTAACTGTCACGTTATAACGCTCCCACGGCTGAAAGGGCAAGCATGTTCAGTTACTGGATTCGAATTCGAGCTTCCCTAACAAATTGATCCTGGATCATATTTCGATTTTAAAAGTAAAGGCAAATACACAATTGGAATGTTTACTATATATTAATTACTAGTTTGAAGTATATTTGGAATAATAATAATTAATAGGAGTTAAACATATCGGAAATTTTAAAATTGATGCGAAAAAGGAAGTATCGTCATTTATGCTAAATGTACAGAAAAGATGGAAAGTTTTAAGGAAATGTTGCAGAAAGATATAACTTATTTAATTATTAATATTGTATACGATAGCAATGATTAAAAAACATCGCATAGCAAGAAAAGAATCTGTCAAACACCATAGTTTGGAGTGGAATGTAAGAAAATAAATATATACTAATTTTAGATATTAAGACACTTTAGAAAGGTTAAGTTGTGACAAAGTAAGAGTTGACTGATATTGAAACATGAAAAAAAATACATTATATAAATTTAGAGAGAAATTCAGAATAAAGAAGTAGGTAGAAATTTGCCCCCACGCTCAGTGGAAAGTCTATATACTTATGAGTTTAAAATCTGATTTATGTAGCTTTGTGTTTAGTTAAAAAACAAGCAACCACAATCTAGAGAGTTTGTCACAGCTACCGCAGATAGCCCTTGTGTAGTGGTGTGTGAATATCCCACTGTAGGTATCGAATCCCGATTTTTAGCGTTATATACAGTCAATATTACCACCGAGCCACTAAAGGCTTTCCGTAGAATCTTCTTCTTCAGAGTGCTTTCTTTAAGTTTGAACTGATAAACTAGTAGGAATGCAGAAATAATTAAGAACATCCATCTAAAACTCTTGGACTGCTCTTATAATGCACCTATTGTTTCAAATTGAGTTGTGCAATTTTGAGGTAACGAGACGTGAACCGTAAATCCTCGGATACATAGTTCAGTAAGCTAACCACTAAGCTATGCTCGGCCGTTTAAACATAGAAAAAAACCAGGATTTGATGGGTTGCCGCCAGATATTTTAGCATTCTTTAGTATAACTTCTAAAATTAGTATTGTACCATATTTTTATATACAGTAGTGTGCTACATTTATTAAACCGTTTGATTTCTTGTGCTTATGAAATAAACCCATTGTAGTTTAAAATGTAGGAAAAGAAGTGTAAAAATAGGCAAATTTTTGAATATCTCCCTTTGTCCCTCACCTACCTTCTCACTTAGTGATACAGCGGTTTCGATATTCATGGTGGGCACAGCACAGATAGCCCATTTTATAGCCTTGTGTTTAACTAAAAAGAAACTAACTCCCTTTATCCATGATTTCAATGTGCTAACTCTTAAGTAATTTATATCTTAATAAGAAAAGCAATACGTATCCACAAATTATTAAGTGCATTAGATTTTTGAAAAATTGTTTAGGATATCTAATCTAAATACGAAATGGAGCAACATTGTCACACATTACTGTTTATAGTTCCTGTACCAGTCATCACTGAAAAAAAACAACAACAAAACTGAAATTTTTACATTCTGAAATGTTCATGAAGGTGTGTATATAAGGAATGTGTTGTTTTGTTTTCAAAAACATTGTCCAGTACAGGTAATATAGTTTGTTTGTTTGTTTTGAATTTCGCGCAAAGCTGCACGAGGGCTATCTGAAGGCAACTGTTGGGCTACTATTTTACCACCAATAGTGGGATTCACCGTCACATTATAACGCCCTCACGGCTGAAAGGGCAAGCATATTTTGTGGGACGGGGATTCGAACCCACGATAGAAAAAATTAACAGCGTTTGATAGAATCAAATACGAATATTTTCATGATGCTAGTTGAATTTTAAGAAACAATATAAAAACCGCGGCTATTCATGAATTACTATGAAGTGCACACTGGACATGTACAAGGAAATCCAATACTATAACATTGGATAAGGCAGATGACAAGAAAAAAAAAGATGTTAGATGCCTAAAATTTAGTATCCCGAAAAACTGAAGGAAGCTGCGAAAAACCTTGATGATAGCATAAAAAAGATATACATAGTTATAGAAGAGTAGCGGCACGAATGCCTTTACTATGCAAAGATAATACTTTTTTTGCGAACGAACATGTATCCTAGTCTTTGTACTGTGACTGGATAGACGAGTATAGTTTGAAGTGTTTGGATCCAACCTGCATTCAAATGTCTGATGGATCACACAAAAATCCATAAATTCTGCGTTTGGCAACTTAGCGGGTTGATCTTCGTATGGAATAGCATGAAACCGTTCCATGCTCAAGTATGCAATGGTTGAGCAAGAGGTATGACAGAAGGTCTTATCTTGGTGAACCCATACTCTGTTGATCTCATTTCCACTGACACAGATTATATTTGTTTTATTGGTTTATAATCTTGAACTTATAGTTTTCTTTCTTTACTGGATGAACTCGACATTTCTTAGAAGTGTGTTTGGGGTCATTATCCTTTTGAAATATGAAATTCTGTCCAATCAGCTTCTTTCAAGAGGGTTTAGCAAGATGGACGAATATATTGTGATATTTATGCTGATCCATAATTTCATGAATTTGTGAAGATAGCCAACACCATTTGCAGATATTGCGCCTCAAACCAATCTCCTGCATACTTGACTGTTGGCACAAGATATTCTGTGAGAAACATCTCATTGATTTTTGGACTATTTGAACAGATGCTGGGAAATTTTCGTCGATTCTCGTCAACTAGATGGATTATGGAAAGCCAACAGGAAGAAGCGGCGTGCTTCGGGCATGACAGCCTTACAACAGAGCCTTTTGCAATGAAAACTACACTACAGGGCTTGCTTGTTTGAAGTTAAGCACAAAGCTCCACGATAGGCTTTCTGTGCTCTGCCCACCACGGGTATCGAAACCAGGTTTCTATCGTTGTAAGTCCACAGACATATCGCTGTGCCACTGGGAGCACACTACAGGGCTATCATCAAGAACCACGGCCGTCAGATAGAGAATGACTAGAAGTAAAGACATGGATTACAACGACGCAGTGAGGCTCCAAAGTCGTTTTAATATAATGTATTCAACCTATATGTATATTACATTTATCAGTGGATAATTCCACTGTGAATCGTAGTGAAAATAATGTTCAGACTAATATTACTTTCGGGAAATGATGAATAAATTTAAGGTGGAGGTAATTTCTATTTTAGAAATATTAATGATTTTCTGCTTTTGTTTCATGATGAAGACCCGACATGGCCAGCTGGTTAGAGCGCTCGACTCGCAATCCCCGTCCCACCAAACATGCTTGCCCTTCCATCCGCGGGTGTGTTATAATGTGACGGTATATTCGTTGATAAAAGAGTAGCCGAAGAGTTAGTGGTGGGTGATGATGACTAGCTGCCGTCCCTCTAATCTTACACTGCTAAATTAGAGACGACTAGCGCAGATAGCCCTCGTGTAGCTTTGCACGAAATTCAAAACAAACAAACAACTCTTGATGACTAGGTTTTACTTTCATAATCTGCTATTGGGATACAAAGAAAATTAATTATTTTGAAGAATGATTGTGGAAAATAAAATTTAAGAGTAAATATTGATATAATACAAAATACAGTGGTTGTAATATGAGGTAAGATATATAAAACAGAAATGTGGCATTATCAGGGTTTTATGATAAAAGTTGTCCCACTTTACCAATATGTATCCTGAAAATAACTTCAAAATTGAGTTTGAACCAGGTGTGACTAAGTCCAATTAAACAAACAATACTATCTACATATATATATATATATGTATATATAACATTGGTAGTATGACTTACCACTCTCCTTAATAGGCTGCAGTTCACTTAGTACCGCCACAGGTAACATATAAATCAAAGAACCCGCCCATACAATCAAAATCATCCTCTTAGCGTGGGAGAAAGTCTGCCATTCTCGTGATTTCAACGGGTGACAGATGGCATAGTATCGTTCAACTGACATGGCTACCAATGTCCAGGCACTGACACTAACAGAGACAGCTGTAAAAATTGAGTTATAAAAAATTAAAGGATAACAATTAAATTTAATGTTTCTAAACAAATCTGGAAACAAATTAAAATGAACGTTATAAAGTTTCACAAAAATATATATTTTTAGAACTTACTAACTGAGAACAAAAACAAAAACCAACCAAGAAATGAAATCGTTGGGTAGTAAATGGGATTAGAATACGTCAATTAATATTCATTTGCTTTAAAGTATTCTGCATATACATATAGTTTTCCACATAAGAATAACTATGTTATGTATTAAACACCTCTATGTGAGTAGTTATCTTGGCTGTTCACTCCCCAAAGGATGCCGCCTCAGTAAGGGGTCGCCAGGTGGGTGGAGATCAAAGGATGTCGACTGAGGGTTACATAAACAATACGTAACATGTTGACAACTATTACGTAATATCTAAATTACGTAGACATCTGAGAGCTACGTAACTGTTATGGAAAAGACACTAGAGGGTGATGACGTCATAATACAACGAAATGGCACTATAGGGCGTGTTGCTAGGGCTACGAAGCGGCACCACAGAGCATGTTTGTATGATGAGTGCACAGATGGTTCGTGAGCGCACCACAAGAGTGTGATGTAGATGAACATGCCATCAACTTTCGATACCCATGGTGGGCAGAGCACAGATAGCACATTGTGTAGCTTTGTGCTTAACTTCAAAACCTAACCTCAAACCTTGATAAACAGTAAACATGATGTATTTATAAAATTGATATTGATAATCTGAAGACGCTTGTTGAGTCTAACCCAAGGTAACACACGTGTGAAGTGGCCATGAAATTGCATGTATCTCAAGAAACAATATGTAAACATCTAAAGAATATGGGAAAAACTTCATAAAGAAGGTGTTTGGGTGCCTCATGAACTCTCCGATGATCATAATTTCCAATGTGTGAACATTGCTTCATTTCCTCTGGTGCGTAATTCGCGTGAACCATTCCTGGAGAGAATTGTCACCGGTGATGAAAAATGGATTTTCTATGCGAATATTAAATGCCAAAAACAATGGCTCAGTCCTAGTCAAAAACCACTTCCGACCCCAAAACCTGGACTCCATCCGAAGAAAGTGATGCTTTGTATTTGGTGAAATATCAAAGGAGTAATTCATTTCGAACTCTTCATTCCACAGCGAACTGTCAATGCAGAGATCTATAGTCAGCAACTGGAAAGTTTAAATCAAGCCCTTCAACAGAAACGCCTTTCACTCATCAATCGGTAAGGTTTTCTTCTTCTCCACGACAATGCACGTCCACATGTGGTACGTTTGAGTTTGACGCAACACAAGATTATGGAGTTGGGTTGGGAAGTTCTCCCCCACCCACCATATTCTCCAGATATGGCACCATCAGATTACCATCTTTTTCTTTTGCTGCAACACCATCTTAATGAAAAACGTATGCAAATGTGCAAGGTGTTAAAGAGGACATCAACATGTTTTTCGCTTCAAGGCCAAATGATGTCTTTAACCAGGAAATTAACAACCTGA